GCACATGGGAAACAGAAGCGGGAGGAGAGCCGCAGCGCTGAGAAAAGACAAGCTGTAAAGGGACCTAAAAGATTCATCCCCAAGATAGCACCAAGTGGTCCCCCTAGCTCAAAAAAGGGTGCCTTGCCAGAGCCTCTACCACAACAGCAGCCTGTAGCTTCCGGCAGCAGCAAACAAGCAGTGCTAGGAGCTTCGTCTCTTCTCAGTAAGTCCCACCATTTTTTTGCTTTCTTTTGTTTCCCCATTATATATATATATATATATATATAAGTATACCTTTTATTTTATTTTACAGGTACTCCCCAAAATAAAGGTAAGAGTAAGGAAGTTCCAGTGATCCCGAAGCGTCGGAGCATGCGCATTCTCGAAACACGATTTGCCAATACCCGCAATAACAAAGGCGAAGACTCGGGACCCAAAGTAGTGGTAACAGTTGATGATAATAGTGATGATGGTAGCGATGAAAGCGGTGCTACGGAGACTGAGATTAGCACCCACAAGCAAGAGAGCACTCGCAGTACAAGTGGTATGGATGAGGACCTTGATGAAGAGCAATATTATAGCCATGATGAAGACACATATCCGAACTTCGGCACTAACTTGGAGGAGCCCGATGCCTCAGATACATCTCCCGCTTTGGCTAGTGATCGTGGGCAGCGTGTTGACATTGAACTGGTATCAAATGACCTTCTTGCTTGTTCTACTTGGCATATTGACATTGCATACTGCCTATTGTGTCCCATAGTTCATACTCCGCTCTTCTCCTGTAGGTCGTGCCCACCATTGAGGACACGACAGGTGCCTCATTGGAGACCGATTTTGCCTTTCCTGCTACAGTTGCTGATGTTGTCCTGAGCCTTTGGGCAGTGCAGCCTCCTTCTCCTCCTAACTCGGGCACATCTGACATGGTTGCTGACACCTGACAGCCACTTCCAGCAGTTCTTCCTCCTACCTTTCCTACTCTAGACACACTCGTCATGGCTGCCGGCACCTCTCCTCCACTTCCGACAGTTCTTCTTCCTACTTATCCAATCCCAAGCACACCTGACATGGCTGCTGACACCGTTCCACCACTTCCAGCAGTTCTTCCTCCTATTTCTCCGATCCTAGACACACCCGACATGGCTGCCGGCACCGTTCCACCATTTCCAGCAGTTCTTCCTCATATTTCTCCGATCCTGGACACAACTGACATGGCTGCCGGCACCGTTCCACCACTTCCAACAGCACCGCTCTTGCTGAGATTACTGACAACAATCATAAGAATGGCGATGCCTTTATCGCAGGTTCCTCCAAAGGGCATTCATCTGAGAAAGGCATGTCTTGGCAAGATTGGAAAAATTCCTACATGGCATTCAAAGCCTTTTTTGATGGCGGTGTCACCATTCTTAGATCCATTGATGAGCTTCTTCTGCTTTGCCACAGATTCAATGGTTATGTGACATTCCAAGGTGCCCTTGTATTTCCAGAGACGGTTGAGGCCTTGAAAAGGTTTATGGACAAATACGGAGGGTTGATGGAAGCTGCAGATGTCACATCCTCCAAGGAAGTGTTAGGGTAAGGAATGAGAAGTTTTGTAAGAGATTTGGCTAGGAAAGGGAAAATGAAGAGCAGAGTTCTTCCGACAGCTGCCAGAAGAGCAAAACGGAGAAGAAGATGAACAGTGCACAATAGGCTTTGCAAGGAGGAGGGCATGCATCTCCAGGCGCTGGTTCTCCAATGCCTGCTGTTTAATATTCAAGGCATCTGCAGCAGCTTTTACTTCATCAGAATCGTGCGATAATTGCATACTATGAATGGCCCATGCTCCAAAGACGGCACGCGCCAAGTTCTTCACGAGTTTGAGAAGAAACTCCACGCGAAAGCCTAGAATCATGGCCTCACATATTGCATCTCGCCAACAGAGTAGCTTGTGATCCGTAATATCAAGGAGCTGCATGGTGCACTGCCCTCCAAGCCCTTGGCCTAGTGCTTCACGGGATGGACACCATGCAGCTCCTTGATATTACGGATCACAAGCTACTCTGTTGGCGAGATGCAATATGTGAGGCCATGATTCTGGGCTTTCGCGTGGAGTTTCTTCTCAAACTCGTGAAGAACTTGGTGCGTGCCGTCTTTGGAGCACGGGCCATTCATAGTATGCAATTATCGCACGATTCTGATGAAGTAAAAGCTGCTGTAGATGCCTTGAATATTAAATAGCAGGAATTGGAGAACCAGCGCCTGGAGATGCATGCCCTCCTCCTTGCTAAGGGTATTTCTGTTGATAATGCTGGGTGTGCGACGGAGGCAGTAGCCAGATTATCTCCTAGGGTTTCCTTCGTTCTTCGTTCTTTTCGGACATTCCCCATAGCCTCAAGGTACTCAGCTCATTCATCATTTTTTTTATCACGTTACGTCTTCCAGCATCAGCTAGTTTTGACACACATCTTCTTTTTTGCAGATTGTCCATCATTGGCTTGGTAACCAGTTAGCTTGGCACATGACCCTGCTTTCTTTGTGACTTAAGGATGCATGAACCTTTAGCATGTGTAGTTTTATTTTGCTTTGTTTGTAGTGTTTTTTTTTTCCTTTTGAGACTCTAACGACTACGTCGTTATGCCTTTGTAATTTGATATTAAACTACTGAAGCTTGTATGAATTTCCGAATGCTTGAGGCATGTTGCATGTTTCCTATATATATATATATATATATACATACATGTGTGTACTGCTTTGTTGGCAAGATTTGTCTTTGTGGACTGCTTGCAATTTTCTAACAGGTTAGATGTCATTGAAAACAGGGTATATGCTGCCGAATTTTTTTTTTTTGAGAGAAGCAGAATTTCGAAAGTTTCTTTTGCATGGTTTATCTAAATTCTAAGCTTGACAAAATAGCTTCCTGTTTTGCTTGAAAAAGAGCAAGCTGGTACATGTATGCTTCTTACCAGGATTTTTATAAAACTCCCAGGTGTTATGCGTATCATGTTGTTCCAGCACCTCAAGGTTGCATGTGTTTTTTTGTTTTTGTTTTGTTTTTGTTTGTAATAGCTTGACTTTGCCTTCTTTATATTATTTTGCTTGGGCCTGGTATTTGTCGTCCATTCGGGACCCCATTGAAGTAGCTTTGCTTGGCATGTCCTACTGCTAAGTGCATGCTTTTTTTTTTTTTTTTTTTTTTTGCTTTTTTTTTTTTTTGTAAAGGATATTTAAAATGTATAAAGGGGTAATAAAACTTCATACACATATTCCTTTTCAAAATAACCCTTCATTTTCATTGCAAAGCTCCTGCTACCATAATGGTGCATCATACAAAAGTGTCTTTTTTTTTTAGATATGAAAATAAGACGGAAGGAGTTCATTTTTTTTTTAAAACAAAGGGTAATACGATAATAAAAGGTGCCGGGCATAAAATTAACTTAGCAGTAGTAAGACTTAAGCCACTTTCCGTTGACGGGATCCGTCAGCGTGCCTTCTTTGACAGAGACCAAGCGATAGTAGCCGCTGTTGTAAACTTCTTTGACTGCAAACGGGCCTTCTCATTGCGGAGCAAACTTGGAAGGTCCCGACACTTGTCTACTCACATGCTCCACGACTTTTAGCACGAGGTCTCCTTGCTTGAAGGCGCGAGGCTTGACTGTCCTGTTATAGGCTTGAGCTATGGTTCTGTGGTACAGTGCTGTCCTCCTTTCGGCTTTCGCTCTTTTTTCATCCAAAGCTTCAAGGTCCAGCAGGCGCCATTCCGAGCATGACTTTGTATCCCATTCGAGGTCGCTAACAGCTGCTACTCTGGCAGTGAGGATGGTAATATCTACTGGTGAAATGGCATCGGACCCGTACACAAGCGAATAGGGCGAGAAACCTGTGGCACTTCTTGAAGAGGTGCGGTAAGCCCATAAAGCATCCGGCAGGTGAACACTATAATCTCCTTCATACTCATAGACCATTTTGCTTAGGATCCTCAATAAAGTTTTGTTCGTGGCTTCTGCTTGACCATTTCCTTGTGGATAATAGGGCGTGGAGCGACGATGCTTGACACCATAACCACTAAGCGTCGAGCTTACTTGCTTATTGGCAAACGGGGTGCCATTATCGGTGACAATCTTATACAGGATTCCAAATCTGCATACGATATATTCACGGATGAAATTTGCGACGGCAGCCCCCGTGGCCTTTCGAAGAGGAACCGCCTCAACCCACTTTGTGAAATATTCAATGGCTGTGAGGATCCATATGTAGCCGTTTGATGGTGGATGGATAGTCCTGATCAAGTCAAGCCCCCAAGTATGAAAGGGCCAAGGAGTGCGCATGTCCTGCAGCAGCGTGGGAGGCTTGTGACTTAAGTTTGCATGAACTTGGCATGCGTGGCACTTCTTCACGAAGTTGTATGCATCGATCTTCATTGTAGGCCAATAATACCCAACACTCAGTAGCTGCCGGTAAAGCTTCTTCATTCCTTGGTGTTCACCACATTTTTCAGCATGAATTTCTTGCATAACTTGCTGTGCTTCTGAGTTCCCCAAGCATTTTAATGGCTCCCCGTTAAACCTTTTGCGGTAAAGAGTTGACCCATCTATGAAGTATCTTTTCATTGCCCTTTTGAGCTTGCGTGCATGCTTGGGATTGGTTGGCAGGACTCCGTTGATGAAGGATGCCAGGTACGGAGCCCTCCAATCTTCCGTAAACGAGATGGTGAATGATTCTTCAGTGGAGGGTATCGTTGCACACTTGGGACAATTGGCTTGCATTTCAGCTGCTTGTTTCCTCATTTCTGGCCAGTAATAACCCTTGCGTTGTAAACGCCGATACAAGCTTATTATTGGCTCCACATTGCAAGTGACTTCATGTACCTCTTGAAGCTTCGCTTATGCTTCTGTTGTTCCTATGCAGCGGGTCAAAATACCTTCTGAAAGGCGTCTGTACAGTTCTCTAAAGATGATCGCGTAATCTTTTAATTCTTTGATATCACTTCCCTCGCCTATTTTTTCTTTCACAGGCTTTCTCCAGTCATCCTCTTCCAGCTACTCCTCTTGAGCCATTGCTTCGATCACTGGCATGTCTTTCTTGATCACAGCAATATTGGGTTGTTTTTCAACAAATGAGAGCTTCGATCCCAAAGTGGCCAAGGCATCAGCATACCTATTAGTAACCCCGGGAATATGTTCTAACACTACTTGTTTGAAAGAACGAACAAGCCTTTCAGCAGCTGTATGATACGGCCCCAATATTGGCTCTTTCACAGCGAAATTTCCATGTAATTGACTCAGCACCAGGTTTGAGTCCCTAATAATTTTAATTCTTTCAACACCCATCTCCCTTGCTGTAGACATCCCCATGATGAAAGCTTCGTACTTCACCGTATTATTTGTGCATAGGAAATTCAGCTTAAATGAAAGGGCCATGGCTTGCCCCTCGAGATTGACAAGCACAGCACCTGCTCCTCCACCCTTCGATGTAGAAGACCCGTCGAAGTAGAGGATCCATGGTTCCGCCTCTGTGACTACAACAACCATTTCTGGCAGCTCCCCCAGAACTTCCTTAGAGATTGCTGATTCTTCAACTTCGGGAAATAGAGACAGCATGTCAATCACGGCTTGTCCTTTGATGGCTTTTGGGATGGTACATGTGATATCAAACTCAGACAGTTGTAGCAACCAACGTGCAAGACGTCCAGATAACACCGGCCTTATGAGCAAATATCTTACGGGATCAGACTTTACCATGAGATGTAGCTTGTGAGCAAGGAAGTAATGCCGCAAACGCTGTGCAGCATAGACAAGAGAAAGGCACAAGAGTTCGGTCTTTGGATATCTCATTTCAGCTTCCCTTAGTTGCCTACTTACGTAATAAATGGGACTTTCTTCCCCGCCGTGATCATCTTGGGCAAGTAAGGCCCCAACCGCCGTGTTTGTTGCAACCAAATAAAGCTTGAGAGGAAGCCAAGGAATGGGTGCTCTCATAGTGGGCAGTTTGGTGATTATTTGTTGCACTTGCTGAAAGGCTTCCTGGCATTCCTTACTCCATTTGTACGGCTTGCCCTTCTTGAGTAAGGGAGTAAAAATACTCATAATGGCGCAAGACCTGGGATGAAGCGTCGAACATACGACAATCTTCCCATAAAGCTTTTCAATTCCTTTGGGTTTCTAGGCGGTGCAAGAGAATTTATGGCTTTAGTCTTTTCGGGATCCACGTCTATGCCACGCTGGTGTACTTGAAACCCCAAGAATTTACTGGATGAAACCCCGAACGCACACTTCTTTGGATTCATCTTTAAACTGTACAACCGACACCTTTTCAGCACCTTCATCAAAACTTCCCAATGGCTTTCTCTGGTTTTGGACTTCACCACAAGGTCATCCACATAGTCCTCGACTTCCTTTCCCATCATGTCGTGAAACACCACTGTCATGGCTCTTTGATAGGTGGCGCCAGCATTCTTGAGGCCGAATGACATGACCGTATAATAAAAATTCCCATATGGCGTTCAAAAGGCTGTCTTCTCAGCATCCTTGGGTGATATCTTGATCTGATTGTAGCCATTAAACCCATCCAGTAATGACAACAAGCCTTGACCCGAGGTTGAATCAATCAAGATATCCATGTTAGGCAGCGGGAATTCATCCTTTGGGCAAGCTCGGTTGAGGTCTCGATAGTCTGTGCATACTCTAATTACTTCGGTCTTCTTCTTCACAGGAACAATATTTGCTAACCACATTGGATGCTTGATTGGCTTGATTAATCCAGCAGCCAACGATTTTTCGATCTCCACCTTGATTTGCTTTTCAATTTCGGGATGGAAATTCCTCCTTGGTTGCACAATAGCTTTGTACCGAGCTCAATATTCAAAGTGTAACTTACTAAGTTTGGGTTTAAGCCAGGCATTTCCTCATAGCTCCAAGCGAACACATCTCAGAATTCCTTTAGCAAGGATATCATGGCCTCCCTCTCTTTATTTGTTAAATGAACGCTGATGGAGATGGGCCTTGGGGCAGAGGGATTCGCACTCAAATCAATTGTTTCCAGCTGCTCAGATACCGTTGTCGATCCATCTTGCATGTGTCTGGGTGCTGTCATCGGCTCTTGGAAAACACAAGGCATGGGTGCCTTGTCATTGGGACCCTTACGGCTGTTTGCTTGCATTACTTCTCCTCCGTACTCGGGGCTTTCCCATAAGACACAGTCAAGGCCCCAACCCCGTCATAAGCGGTACACGGTACGTCCATCGGGCAGCGTCACCTTCGAGCATGGGGGATAATCATAGGCATGATTGTTGACCTCTGAGTGCCTCTTCCTCTCTCGATCGACAATGGTGATGAGCTCCTCATTGCTTAGATCACGAATTTCAGTTTACGAAGGAAGGTAGGTCCCGAAATCCTTGGATGGGTTGCTTCCAGCACCTGTGCATTCAGTGTAGAATTCTGCTTCGGAGTAGTGTACTTCATCCTTGTTGAACGGTGCTTGATTTCCAGGTATGCGTAGTGGCCTTAGCCCAATCCTTTCCTTTACGCATTAGTGATAAGTAGAGACCACAAATTTATGCTTGTTGAGCCATGACTTTCCTAGCAAAGCATGGTAAGCCACATCCACATCTATAACATAGAACTTGGTAAGTGACCTAATCGGCCCGACCTTCAAATTTACTTGCCCATGCTCGACTATGACCTCACTCTTATTCTCGAAACCGCTGATGCTTGTTTGTGATTGGACAATTTTGGATAATGGGATACCAGCTGCCGTAAGCACAGACAGAGGTAATATGTTGACAGAGGAACCCGTGTCTACCAAAGCTATTTTTATAAACACGTCGTTGATTTGTCCCTCCAAATAAAGCGGCCTCCTATGGTCCGGGTATGGAATTTCCATGTCTTCGTCCGTGAAGACAATAGCATTGTCATTTCCCAAAAATGACCTTTGTGGTTGAGTGGTAAAGTAATGAGGGTTAGACTATGCAGAGATATTCATAAGAGCTACAGCAGCTGCTTCTCTTGCTTGAGGCCCGAAGCCAAGTTGGTCAAAGAGTGATTTGAACTTCGGGTTTCTTTGAAGGACCTGCGAAGCTATGGGCCCTGTTTCAGACTTAAATAAAGCTCTATCACGCTTGTTTCAGCTTCCGTAAGATTATGCAATGTCACAGTAACTGTTTCCTGCTGCCCCAATAAAGCCCCCGAGTAGCATTCTTCCAGCATGTCTAAAACAAAAACTTTATTGCCTGAGTTGTTATCCCATCCATCAGCGAGCGGCCATGGTGTTTTGTAACTTGAAGGTCTCGAATATTTACGCCAATATGCCTTCTCCATGTTTCTGCAAGGTTCCCACATAGCTTTCGGCGGCTTTGAGTCATTCCTCCAGGGGTGGCACGATTCATCATCATCGAGCAAATCATCGGAACATGTAATGATAGCAGCTACCTCATTTCCCTTTCGTTTTGGCAAGGGGTCCTCATCAATTGTTTGCTTCCTAGAGGGAAGTTCAAGGACTCCCTCATGTATCTTGGCATGTAAAATCCTCCTCAGACTCTGACAGGCAGTAGTTGGATGCCCCACAAATTAATGATAACGGCAGTACCTAGGATCATTCTTTTCCTCTCGGGTAGGAATTTTGTAGGGTATGACAGGCTTGATTGTGCCAAGGATAGCATGAAATTCTTCATATTTGCATGGTAGCGGCGGATACGTCTCCCTATCCTTCCGTTTGCGCGAATTGTAGTCGTTGAATGACTTGTCATCTATTGCTAATGTCTAATGCGTTTCCTTCTTCTTATTCGTCCAAGTCATTTGTCCCGTTGGCTTGACGGACATGCTTGTCTTCCTCACAGCTTCCAGCAGCCGAGAAAATTGACTAATGCCAATATTCTCCAAATAAACTATATAATCTGCCACAATATTGCTGATGCAGATTTCCACAAGCGCCTCCTCATCTTTCTCATCGTATCAATCCAATGCCATGTCCCGGAACCTACGCACAAAGTCCACAGGATCCTTACCATGCTTTTGACGAGTGTTGTTGAGTTGAGTGGTGATGACTCGTTCTTTATGCTGGAAATACTTCTTACAAAACCTGCTTGCCAAGCTTTCCCAAGAGTGAATAGAGCCGGGTGCCAATGTTGTATACCATGTGTAAGCACGATCGGTGAGACTCTTTGAAAATTCTCTAAGTCGGAGATTATGATCACCAGCATATGGTCCCAAGGCATCAATGAAGCGATTGACATGCTCCTTCGGGCTCCCCTTCCTTCCGTCGAAGAGGACAAAAGTTGGTGCTTCATAGCCTTTAGGGTATGGCTGCTGGAGCAAGCTTGCTGGGTACGGTGGGTGAGGAAGATACTTCTAATCTTCCTGACTTCGACTCAGCTCCTTTTCCAGCATGGCAACAACATCCTCTTGAGTGACAAACGATGGTTTTTTTTTTTTCAGACTCCTTTTCAGCAGCAACAGATTCCTCTTGTGGGTGTTTCTCATTTTCTTCACTTGGCTTTGGAGCTGAATTTTTGAGTTCTTTTATCATCTCTGCCATCTCCCTCTGGGTCTCACCCATAGCATGGATGGCTGTGACAAGGTCCGTGAGGGTAAAAGTTCCTTCACTTGCACGTTCTTCTTCTCTAGAAGAGGCATGTTGCCTTGACTCTAAGTCAGCATGGCATGGCCCAGCCTGGGAAGTCATGTTGTTGCTTCTGGTCTTTTTTCTTGGAGGCATTGATGAAGATAATGACTTAATCCCCAGCAAAGTCGCCAATTTATGTAAGAGACTTTTTCTTCCTGCAGCTAATGGGCCGGGCTGCCGTAAAAGGCGGACTGAGGAAACCGTCCCCTTTGTTTGGGTTCGAAAATTAAGCCCCAAAAATACTTCGAAAGGGCAGCAAAGCCTTAGGAAATATTTTGGTTATCTTCACCAACCAAAATAATGGCTGCTTACAGGTGTTTTTGGCATGCCTACAGATAATCTTTTAGCTCAGCGTGAGTGGCATGTGGCATGGGAGCAAAATCAACATGAGTTTAGCACTAAGAGAGAATTTAGGCTTGCTTTATGAGGAAAGAAAGTGTTAAGGTAAGGAAGGAGATGTTTTGTGAGAGATTTGGCTAAGGAAAGGGAAAATGAAGAGCAGAGTTCTTCTGGCAGTAAGGAAGGAGATGTTTTGTGAGGGATTTGGCTAAGGAAAGGGAAAATGAAGAGCAGAGTTCTTCTGGCAGCTGCCAGAAGAACAAAATGGAGAAGAAGATGAACAGTGCACGAGTTTGCTGGGTTTTGCAGGTTAGAGAGAAGGCTTGCTCTCTGAATCTGAGTTGCTTTCGTTAGGTAGGATATGCCTTAATTTATAACTGTTGGAAACCCCCATTTTTCAAGAAACCCTAATGGCTTCTACCCATTTTGGCTAAGCTTTTTCCTCATTTTCCCACTTATTCTTTAACTTCCCTATCTTGGCAAAAATTGCCTCTGTCTATTTGCACGAATTCAGGAAATTTGGAAGCTCAATGCCCTCTTTTCCCGCAGTTGTGTAGTGGGAACTTCCATTCTTAGCTACTGTTTTTTCTTCTTTCCTTTCCCGTGCTTTGGCTAAATCTGATGAAGGAAAGGAAGTGAAAATATATGCTGATCCAAGGGGTGCTTCTGACAGCCTGTAGGCTAGTATTCCTTGGTTCTTTAAGCATCTCTGGCTTGGAACTTGCTCCCTGCGTATGGTGGAACCTCCAGTAGCCTTGCTTAATGAATCTGCCAACCTTCCTCACGTGGCTTCTATTTTTTTCAAAAGGGCTGAGGCTTTTGTGGGTCATTTTTGGAGTTTTGTATGGGCTAAGAGGTCCCTTAAACAAATGGGCTATTTTATTAAATATTGGGTTTTTAAGCCAATAGGCTATTTGGGCTTTCTTGGGCTTTTGGGATTTCTTGGGCTTTTTGGGCTTTCTTGGGCTATTTCTTTTCCCTTGTGCTTACCCACATGTTTGGACTTAAGAAATGAGCTTGAGTCTCGAGGCTCCCAAGTAACCCGAGACTTTCCATTTTCCGGCTCATCAATGGGCCTCATATTGATTTATTACCGTCCAAACCACAACCCACTCAAGCAAGCCCTGGT